GAGAATACTTTTGTTCTCCCACCTGTGTTTTCACATAGAAAGACAGTTTTTTTCTATAGAAGAAATCATATCAAAACTAAGAATGTAATATAACAGCTTTATCCCACACAGGTGGCTATATGTATCCTTATTTAATTTTTGGGGTATTTTACATATTTTATTCATTACATATGTGTGACTGAATGTATGTATGTGTACTGCATGTGTGAAGGTACTCACAGAGAGCAGAAGAGGGCATCAGACACCCAGAACTGGAGTTACTGGCACTTGTGAACCACCTAATGTAGCTACTGAGAATTGAACCAGAGTCCTTTGCAAGTGGTATTAACCATTGCTCAAGCCCTAGTTTGAGGAAATGTTAGAGGCTAGCATAAAACCTGCCACCTAGAAGAGGGTTAGTAGCTATTAACAAATGTTTTCTATTTATACAGATTTTATAACTGCTAAGATAACCAATCTAATAGAGGGAATAATCTATTTTCTTTGTATGGTAGCCTTTTGGTCCACCTGGAATAATGAAAAAAGGTGTAACACAATCTGAGAATGAAGAATGGAAAAGAATCAGATCATTGCTGACACCAACCTTTAGTAGTGGAAAACTGAAGGAGGTAAGTTAATGGAGGACTTTTTATTATAAATGTAGTATACTCTATCGGATGACTGGTAGAATAATATTATACTCTTTAAAGAGAAGTTCCTTTGAGCATCGCATTGCTAAGAATGGTTTTTGTTTTTCTGTTTCATTATTGTGTTGGTTCTTTGTTTTGTTTTGTCGTTGTTATTTTGTCTTACATAGTACTTTTAAAAATATGATGATCATTTTATAACTTCAAAGACTTGTTATTTTGGGACTCAGATATTGCCATTTACCATTAGATTGTGCTGTGTTTTGTGCATAGATGTTCCACATCATCCAAGAATATGGAGACTTGCTGGTGAAAAACATAAGTCAGGAAGTAGAGAAGGGCAAGAATGTTACAACAAAAGAGTGAGTAGTGGTGCATGCATTCGCTGGGGACACTGTGCCCATTTGGAGACTTCCCTCTGCCTGACAGGTAGCTAAAATTATTCTGGATTAAGAGTAAGGGAGAGGCATGAAATTATGCTGCTGTGAACCACACATTAAGGAACAGTTGCCGCAATACCTTTTGAGAGTCTCTCCATTGTGTACACGAGACAAAATTAGGTTGCCTGTTGTCATCCTGTATGTTTTAGAAGACTAGTTATATAGTTTAGAATGAAAGGAAAATTTAGTAAATCTGAAGACATGGGGATAAAGAAATGTGGGTAGAGGATATATGTGCTACATCAGAGGACATTGGTTTGCCTAGAGTATTATAGCTGTAACTTTCAACAGTCTAAATGGTCAGGATTT